GCATTACTTTCGTCCCAAGTCTGAAAGACGCTGTGAGAAAAGTAACTTACGGAGAGAGGGGGAGGAGAGATTTTCCGTTATAAATTCAAAATGTGTCGTTTAAAAAATTTTCAAAAAATTATCAAGAACATTTTGATCATCAGTTACAAGAAGTAATTATTTTTTTTCAAAATTAAACGACAAATCTTTTCATAAAAAAAAATATTTCATTTGAAAATCACGCATTTTTCAATGCAAAAATGAACCGTAGTTTTTCAGTTAAATTCTTCAAAATTTTTTTTCTCGAAGTGTACCTCTGCAAATTCACTTTGTTTGTGTGTTTAATAGTTAAACGAACGATTTGGCAAATTTTGACAGCTAGGCTAACCTTAAATATTTTAAAATAAGGGATTTTATAGTTAGTTGGTTGAATTTTTTTTGTACTCGTGATCAGCCAAAGAGGGGTAACTTTAGGAACTTCCTGTCCGAATTCGGCTCGAACGATTTTGACCAAAATGTACATACACATAGTAGATATTGTCATGTATATGATATACAAAAATAGCGAAAATTAAACGACAGGAAATTTTTGGGGTAGGTGTGTTGTACATCCTTAATGCAACAAACTTTATAGAAGGAAATCAGTAACAACTCCTTTCCTAAGCAGCCATCCATGTGAGCTGAAGTTTATGCATTGGATGATAAAAATCACACAGTACATGCCAGTTCTGTATATACTTACTATGAAGTCTGGTGGTGATGGCAGACACTGCTTTGTTGACCATATTAATCAGCTGTTCACTGTCCATGTCAGTAGGTTCTAATCCCGGCTTCAATTCCTCCTGTTTCTGTAAAAAAAACTTACAAAATCAATGTTATACGAGTCAACAATCACCATCAGTAATTTTTAGCTCACCTCAACGAAGATGGGGGGGCTTATGTAATACCCTCGGCGTCGGTGTCCCAGGTTTAAGTTTTTGGAGCAGATCTCGTTTCCAAGTAACTATAAGTCCTATGTTGACCAAACATGTATGGATGATACATCTTATGATGTACACTACCAGGCTTCCTTTAGATGTTGGACCTGACCTACATTTTCCGTATACATGACCAGGTTAAAGTTTTTGGAGCAGATTTCATGTCCAAGTAACTAGAAGTCCAATGTTGACCAAACTTGGATGGATGATAGATCTAAGTATACACACTACTGGACTTGCTTCGGATGCTGGATCTGACCTACATTTTCCGGATGAGTGACCAGGTTAAAGTTTTTGGAGCAGGTCCATTGCCAAGAAACTTTAAGGCCTATCTGAACCAATTTTGCATGCATGATGCATCAAGGAACAAACATTTAAACTTGCTTTGTATGCTGGATTCGACCTTTCTGGATGAGAGACTAGTTTAAAGATTTTAGATAAGTCCATTCCCAAGTTACTGCAAGCCCTATCAGACCAAAATTGCATTAATGTTGCACCTAGGGACACACACTACTAGATTATTTGTTTAGTATGGGACTTTGTCTTACTTAAAGACAACATTCGTTGAGGTGAGCTCTGTAATCTCTGATTACCCATGTTTACAACATGATGAGGAAGTTCGAACATTAAAATAAATTGAGGCAAAACCAGCTGAAATCCATTGACGGAAAACAAGTCTCAATATTTAGCAACAGGAGTACCCTTGACCATGTAGCCCTATAAGGGTAATTAATCCACAGTTCATCGGAAGATTTAATTGTAATCCATGAAAACAAATTCACAGACATGGGTCACACTTTACCTGAACCCCTCCTAACCAACTATGAATTGATTACATACTAAATTTTCAAATTAGCAAATCCCTTATGATGTTCAGCAGTGCTTACTTCTTATGCCATGTAATGTATTCATCTCTAAGCACAGCCCTGAGAAAACTGGGCAGCTTGTACTGAGACTGGACAAGACATCGGGCAGAGGCTACCATTGAGGCATCCAGTGGACCGTTAACTCCCGTCATTGTAAGGAACTCAGCAATGTTGGGGGTCAGTCGGAATGGTACAGGGCGGTTAGCATCTAGCTCACCTGACAAACATAGTATATACATTATATCAACAAGGGTGTCAAGATACATGAATGTTGTATTTTTATCAAATATATTTGAATTTTCTGTGCAAAAAATCAAAACACATTACATGTAGCTACATTCAAATGAATGAAAGGAGGAAACCACATTAATTATATACACTGAATTAATAATGCAAAAATATATTCTTTTATTCTTAAAAAAGATACTATCAAAAAAAAAATACTCTTTTATTCACAAAAAAGATATTCTGTAATTGTACATTTGAAACCATTTTTCTTCCACGGTGACAATATCTTAACATGTAAATCAAGTGGTGAGGATAACTATTCCAAAATTTCAACCTCAGTCCTACAAACAATACAACAAAGGTACACCTGTATTATATTAAACATTACCTGACTGGTCATCAATGTCAAACTTGTAGTAGGAGATGTTGATGTAGCCACAGTCCTGATGAAGGTACACCATGTCTGGATTCATTCTAGTAAGGTGGAGGACAAACGCAGCAAATTTCATCAGATCCAACAGGATTGTCAGCTGTTGACAAATTATGCAACTTCAGAATAGCAATCAAAGCACAATTATAAAGGGAAAAAATTGACTTTCCTTTTTAGCTCACCTGAGCCGAAGGCTCAAGTGAGCTTTTCTGATCGAAATTTATCCGTTGTCTGTCGTAGTCGTCGGCGTCGTCGTTGCAAACTTTTCACAATTTCATCTTCTTCTCCAGAACCACTGGGCCAATTTCAACCAAACTTGCCACAAAGCATCCATGGGTGAAGGGGATTCAAGTTTGTTCAAATGAAGGGCCACGCCCTCTTTCAAGGGGAGATAATAGAGAATTGGTGAAAAATTAATAGCATCTTTTAAAAATCAGGAAAGATAAAACTCATGTGGAAACATCCTCAGGTAGTGTAGATTCAAATTTGTTCAAATCATGACCCCCTGGGGTAGGGCAGGGCCACAATGGAGGATCTAAGTTTTACATAGAAATATATAGGAAAAACCTTTAAAAATCTTCTTCTCAAGAACAACAAAGCCATGATGAGTTATATTTATATGGAAGCATCCTCAGGTAGTGTAGATTCAAGTTTGTTCAAATCATGACCTCCGGGGGTAAGGCGGGGCCACAATGGAGGATCAAAGTTTTACATAGCAATATATAGGAAAAACCTTTAAAAATCTTCTTCTCAAGAACAGCAAAGCAATGATGAGTTATATTTATATGGAAGCATCCTCAGGTAGTGTAGATTCAAGTTTGTTCAAATCATGACCTCCGGGGGTAGGGCGGGGCCACTAAGGAGGATTAAAGTTTTACTTAGAAATATAAAGGAAAATCTTTTAAAAAATTCTTCAAAGAGAACAGCAAAGCCATGATGAGTCATATTTATATGGAAGCATCATCAGGTATTGTAGATTAAAGTTTGTTCAAATCATGACCCCCGGGGGTAGGGCGGGGCCTATGCTGCCTCCATAAATTACAGCTAGTTAAACCGTTTTTTATCTTTATTGAAACTCCATAGTTCAATAATGTGGTGATACATAATACGTACAGTGAAAAGCTACAATAGACAAAATAATAATAAATGTGATGTACAATGCTCAATTTTGAGAAATTTACGAAAAATCTGAAAAATACCTATATTCACAATAAATAGAACATATTACTGAGATAAATATGTAAATTAGCATTATATAAATAGAGACACTTTGCAAATATCAGCAAACATGGATAATACATATGACAAATTTAGCTACTCTGAATTCCGGTAAAAATTAGCAGTCAAATTTCACATATGTAAAAGAAAATAATAAAGAAATCATTGCCGAAAATTCATAAGCATAATACAAGTAACTGTAAGAAGAAAAATATATGAAATACTTACATTGTGGGCAGAGTAAAAAAAACTGTAACAACAGTATGACTGTACATGTACTGAGTAAGGCGACGAGTGACGAGAAAATATCATATATAAGTGTAAACAAAAAAGAAAAACCAAAGTGTACCGGAAGAAAAAAATTCCGGCTTACAAGACGGCACACTCCTCGCCTGATATTAACAATATCATCAAACTTCAAATTTTAGACATTTAAGATAATGTTAACATGTAATAAATTAAATTACAGTAAATTTACAGTCTCTTATATTAATTGCCGCACTAATGACAGAAATGTTCACTGTTCCACAAAAACAATAAGTTCGGTAACTGGGCGCACATAAGTTTTGGGTTCACCGTTCACACTAACACGAATTATCACTTTACGCACTAGATCATCATCACTTGGCAGAGATTTGACAACGATTCCCATTGGCCAAGAATTGCGGGATAGTTCTTTATCACAGATTAACACCACATCACCGGATGATAGATTTCTTTGGGGTAGATTCCATTTACGGCGCATCTGAGGAGTGTTCAAATACTCCATTTTCCATCGTTTCCAGAAGATAGATGCTAAGTGTTGTACTCTCCTCCATTGTGTCTGTAACATCTCGTTCTTGTTAACATGATCAGAGAATAGAATGCTATCCTTAACATTGGTTTTCTGAGTAAGTAGAGTTGAAGGGGATAACACAAGTGAATTTTCTGGATCTGTAGAGACTGACACCAGTAGTATTGAGTTGATTATGGAGGAAGCTTCTGCTAGGAATGTAGTGAGCACCTCATGCGTTAAACTCCTAGATCCGTAGTCGAGTAGCATAGCATCCAATATACGTCTAGTGACCCCAATCATACGTTCCCACACTCCTCCCATGTGAGAGGAGTGGGGAGGGTTGAAGATCCATGTTGTTCTCTGCTCGTTGAAGAAGTTGTGGAGACATTCATCCTCTACATTTATGACATTGATCTTTAACTCCTTAGCAGCACCAATGAAATTTGTTCCTCTGTCTGATCGAAAGACTTGAACAGGTCCCCGTATGGCGATAAATCGACGGAGCGCATTTATGAATGAAGACGATGTCATTTCCGCCACGACTTCGATATGTACAGCCCTGGTAACGAGGCAAGTGAACAAAGCAGCCCATCTTTTATTGCTGCACTACCTCTGGTACGCCGAGTGATGATGTTCCACGGTCCAAAAATGTCAACTCCGACAGTAGAGAAGGGTGGTTGTCCTGGTATGAGACGATCCTCAGGTAAGTTAGACATCTTCTGATATTCAGGTACTTTTCTTAGTTTCCTGCAAGTGACACACTGATGAAGAATAGATGACACAAGTCTTTTTCCTCCAACAATCCAAAATCCAGATGAACGAATATGACCCTCTATAATATGACGTTTTTGGTAGCTGACATCAGCATGAAGTTTTCTGACAATGAGAGTGGTAGCATGATGTTTTGCAGGAAGAATCATTGGGTTCTTGAATAAAACATCTGCACTGAGGTTTTTCAAGCGACCACCAACACGTAAAATGCCTTCACTGTCAATGTATGGATCTAGTTTTTGAATAGGACTATTTTTTGGCAAAGGTTTGGAGTCCTTTAAATTTTCAATTTCCTCAGAATAGAATTTCTGTTGAATGTCTCTGATAATAACTGTTTCAGCTTTGCACAGAAGATAAACATCACTCTTCATCATACTCGCAGCTTTGCGACACTTCTGAATAAATCCATAAACCTTAGCAACCACTGCTACTAGCTTGTTCCACTTCGAGAATTTCGTGAGGAGTTCATTGTCCAGACCAAAAACTGTTTTTGTCTCAATGTCAAATTTGTTACAACGGATTTCCTTCAGGGCTCACAAGAGGAAAGTGTTCATTAGAAGGTACAATATCTGTTTTTTCTAGGTTTGAGAGCCAAGCACAGTTTTGCATTTCACTCGGGAGGATTCCTCTCGTGCCTACATTTGCCGGGTTGATCTCGCTACGAATGTTACACCACTGTGACGGATCGCTTAAACTGAGAATGTGAGCAATACGATTACTGACATACACGAAGAATCGTTTCTTTACATTGTGTATGTATCCTAATACGATTCGACTGTCGCTAAAATATTTCACATCATCTATTTCTATCTTTAACTGTTCTTTTGCTATTTGTCCTATGTCCACGGCAAGTGCAGCACCACACAGTTCCAATCTAGGGATTGTATGTCCACTGACAGGTGGCACTTTTACTTTTCCTAAAACGAATCCTTGAGAAATAGAACCATTGTGACACTGTGTTTTTAAATAGCAAACAGCACTAATAGCTAGTTCTGACGCATCACAGAAAATAAGTAATTCTTTCCTATATGCTTCACTCAAATTTGGAACAATCAATCGAGGAATTTGTAATTTTTCCAAGTCAGGTAAGTTATTTTTCCATTTCTCCCATTCTTCAAGTAGATAATGAGGTAGGGCTTCATCCCAGTCGGACATGTCTACGGTTTACAAGACGGCACAGGGCCATAATGGAGGATCAAAGTTTTACTTAGAAATATAAAGGAAAAATCTTCTTCTCAAGAACAGCAAAGCCAAGATGAGTCATGTTTATATGGAAACATTCTCAGGTAGTGTAGATTCAAATTTGTTCAAATCATGACCCCTGGGGGTATAGGGCCACAATGGACTATCAAAGTTTTACATTGAAATATATAGGAAAAATCTTTAAAAAATCTTCTCAGGAACAGCAAAGCCCTGATTAGTCATATTTATGTGGAAGCATTCTCAGGTAGTGTAGATTCTATTTTGTTCAAATGATGACTCCCAGGGCAGTGGCAGATCCAGGAATTTCGTAACGGGGGGGGGGGGGGCAGTGGGTCTGGGGGCTGCATTGAAGCATGACCCCTGGGGGTAGGGTGGGGCCACAATGGAGGATCAAAGTCTGAAATAGAAATACATAGGAAAAAATATCTTCTTCTGAAGAACTGCAAAGCCATGATAAGTCATTTTGATATGGAAGCATCCTCAGGTAGTGTAAATTCAATTTTAATTTGTTAAAATGATAACCTCCGGGGGTAGGGTGGGGCCCAATGGGGGATTGAAAATTTTACATAGGAACATATAGGAAAATATCTTCTTCTCAAGAACTGAAAATCATGTTTAGTCATTTTGATATGGAAGCATCCTCAGGTAGTGTAAATTCAATTTTGTTCAAATGATGACTCCCAGGGCAGTGGCAGATCCAGGAATTTCGTAACGGGGGGGGGGGGGGGGGGCAGTGGGTCTGGGGGCTGCATTGAAGCCCCCAGTGGGTCTAGAGCAAGGCCTTTTGGGGGGTCTGTGAAGGTGTCGAATTCTTACAAAGAAGAGATGTTTTTTTCCTTGATTTTAGGATAATGGACATATAAGTTCTACATAAAAAAATTCAAACCGGGGGCGCACTGGCCCTGGATCCACTTTTGCGGGGGTAGGGTTGGGCCCAATGGGGGATCGAAAGTTTTACATAAGAACATATAGAAAAAATATTTCTTCTCAAGAACAGAAAAACTATGTTTAGTCATATTGATATGGAAGCATCCTCAGATAGTGTAGATTCAAGTTTGTTCAAATGATGACCCCTGGGATAGGGAGGAGCCACAATGGGGGATCAAATTTTTACAAAGGAATATATAGGAAAATTTTTTTAAATCATTTCAAGTACAACAAAGCCATTTGTTAAATTGACATGAGGGTAGTTTAAAATTCAACCCCCCCTCCCCAGTAATCTTTTCAATAATGAACTGATTTGTGCTTTTGCCTAGCCAATGTGCTCAGGTGAGCGATGTGGCCCATGGGCCTCTTGTTTTTGAGGATTTCTTTACAAAGATGATTTTCCTCTTTCAATACATGCACAATTTTCTATCCTGTTTAGGTGATAAGACATATTTATAGTTTGATTGAAAAGCCCATATACATTTTACTAAAAAATTATATATAAATTTTCAAATAGCTATAAACTTAGTTACATTTACCAATTCAGAAAAAAAAATTAAACAATTCATAATGCACCCTGTATTTTCCACTATTTGAGTACTGACCGTTTTCCTGAACGTCCAGTAGTCTGTGACCCCCGGGTCTGGACTGTTGCCTGCAGGCGCTCGTAGTACTTAGCAACAGGGACATCATGCTCTATACCTCGCTTGGTACATATCTCTGTAAATACAAGTATGTGATAAACACAATGTTTGCATTTAACTCAACAAGTGAGAAATAGGGGACCATTTTGTTTATCGTAATATTTCTAATGGAAATTGATACTGGGAGCCAGATCTTTTCATTCAACCTCTTCAGCTGATTTCCCACACATTGTTCTAAACCTTACACTCTCCACTTGAAATTCGGAATTTATCATGCAAACTCAGTTTTACTTTCAATACACAAGTACTCAGCATGTAATCAGCCACTTGTAAATCACAGCAGGGAATGATGACGTCCCTGACACACACAGAATTTCGTAAAAAAGAAGAATAAAGATAATATAAATGTATGACATCTTCAACACCTATACAGTAAAACACGCTTCTGATGAGGTGCCAGGGGTGGATGATATTTGGCTTTGTTATAAATATAATTCGTTTTATCCGTTAGGGGTTCACAATATACATGTATATTTTAAAGCCTTGGGGAATGAAAATCACTTTGTTGTAAGCGTGTTCACTATAAACATGTTTTACTGTATGTGTATTTGTTTTTTACTAGGGACATAGTAGAGTAAGTCTATGTTTTCAACCATTTTAAGAATTTGAGCCTCAACTTTAATTTTTCGTGTATCTTGTAGGATTATTTCTCTCAGTCCCTTTGAGATTGAGGTAGAGAGAATTAACAGTAGAATACACAAAAACTTAATTTCATATGCAGTATTAACCTGTTTATAGACATCTAACAATGAGATGGAGGCAGGGTTATCCTCCACCAACCTCATCTGGGGGGAGATTGCCACCAAACGAGGGACCGTGAAATATGTAACAGTCAACGTAACGTCTCCTTCTGTTTGGTCAGAAAATGATTCATCATGCGTAACAGCTGAAGCACTCGCTCCTCTCGACGCGATTCTGTCAGACACGTATCAATGACCACTAAGTAAGGGTACACCTGAAAGGTTAATGGTCAGTTTTTTACAGTAACTGTATAAATATCCAGGAATGTGTACATGGATGAAAATTTAAAAAATTGATGAGAAATCTAGTATAATTACACAAACATGGATTTACAGTCATGCATACGTACTTGAACATCTACATTGTACATGTAAGTTTACAGATTTTGACAAAATAGAATTATTGAATTAAGAATGAAATTATTCATTATCATTCACAGTTCACTTTAAATATCTTGATTTCCTGTGTCTCCCACCTTCCCGTTGTGGCCTCCGATGTAGAGATGTCTGGCTGCCGTGTTGTATGAAGCGGGCAAATCGTACATAGTAATGGCTGTGCTGTATACTGCAAAGATGATGTGCATAATTAGTCAATGAAATGAACTCATAAATAATTTAATTCCTGTGAAAGACACAGGATAATCAAAATTTCAAGACAGTCATTCTACAGGCATCTTAATGGTTCTCCATAAAATTAACAAGGATTTTCCAATCATCTATCAAACTTATCATGTCAGCATGTCTAAATTTTCATTTTCACTTTATATGCTAAGAGTTTTGATCAGTATACACAGCATATGTTTACTGTATGTCAAAGATAACCATAAACCAAGAGCAATTAAATCAATAACATTATACCGCAAATTTTACACCAAGAACACTAAAACACCTGAGAGGTTGATAACACAGTTAAATAGATCATGTTGTGTGTTTAAATGCATGTGCATTTCGAATCTGATTGGTAAGACAGTCGCCATTACAGTCTACATTCAGGTAATACCAATTACTGCACACTTCTGAAAAAAAATGTCAGATTTAATATTTGTTAGGTTATCTATTAATCTAGACTTTCATTTATGATAATATTTTCGTAAAACTTTTGTTTATATATTTTTTATGTTAAAAAATATGAAATCAAAATACGAATATAGAGAATTTTTCATTTTGCTGAAAAAATGAAAACTTTCAAATAAGATACCCACATGCAAATCTATAATGATATTTTCTACGCATTTTGTAACAACTTCTCAATCCAAATATCCAATTTATCTTGCTTTGTATATGAATAATCTTCGACTATTTCTAATATTAATGAACCCAATTTAAAAACATATATTCGTGTTATTCTCTTTAATGACAATAAACAAAATGCTGATTTTTTCCTTTAAATTCTAGTCATGGATCCACACATTCGTGCCCAGGAGGTGATACGATGTGATCTGTGTAAGACTAAAAAGGTAGAGGTTCACTGTGATACATGTTATATCAGACTGTGCAATATCTGTATTGGAGAACATATGGCATCTGACGAATCCAAGAAAAAACATGAAATTGTAAGATTCAAGTTTCGAAAGTCAATTCCACTTTACCCTCGGTGCTCCTTCCATGACAATGAACAATGTGAAATGTATTGTAAACAGTGTGATCTTCCTCTCTGCCTTACTTGCATTGCATCTGAACAACATTCACGCCATAAAATATTGAAAATTTTGCAAATTCTGGATGAAAGAAAAGATAAGATCATCAGTGAAAGAAATGAATTAAATGATGCGTTACTTCCAACCTATCTGGACATTGCATCTGATGTAGAAAGCAAGATAGAATTGTTAGAAAAGGAATATGGAGAGATTGTCACCGCCATTACAAAACATGGGGATGACTTACACAGAGAAATTGATCAAGTCATCAAAACACTTCATACTGAAGTTGATGAAATGAAAACAAAACAGATGCTATCTCTACAGAAACATCTTGATGAAATTAAGAAGAAAATTTCTAAAATAAGAGATAATATTAACTCAGCTGATGTTGATATAGATTCCCATGATATTTCAGAACTGTTAAGTGTTACATTAAATGTTGATGAATATAGAAAACTTCCACGAAAAATTATACCAATTTTACCTGAGCTTAAGTTCACTCCAATGAATGTTGAAGGGGAAGGAATTCGTAGACTGTTTGGAATTAAATCATCAGCTAAATTTATTTTAGATGAAGATGAATATAGTATCAAGACAACACAGAAATCATTGGAATCGGGATCCTCTCCTTCAGTCAAACAGCTGCTTGATGAACCAGAGACCACTGTTTGAAATGCACCTTAACAAAGTGGCCTGTCTGAGTAATGAAGAAATCTGGACAAGTGGAGAAGAAAACACCATGAAACTACTCAGTATCAGTCAGGACTCACTACTCAAGTCAATCAGAACCAAGTCCGGTAACATCCCCTTCAATATAGCAGTATCTTTTTATGCTGACCCCAAAGACAGAACTGTGAACACTGTGAAGAATAAAAATAATATAGACTTTTTTGTATTATTCTCTTTTTTTGTAATCTAATAATATCTATTAGTTTTAAGTG